TGGCAGAAGAGCAGTTCAGCAAGGCTCTGAGACTCTGGCAATCTGCTCAGGAGGAGGAGAAAAGGAAGCTCCTGCAAAAACAGGTAGGAAGCAATACACACCTGAACTTTTCAGGCAAGCTTGGTGGGCTGGCTTAGCAGAATAGCAGCCTGAGAATGGGACATGGCCGCAAGCCTCTGCTGCAGGCCTGACGTTGCTGGGCCAGGCAGCAGAGGGCTTCAAGGGCTCAGACTTGAAGGGCTGTGAATGCCCAGAGGAGGGTGCTGGGGCACTGAACGCAGCCACGGTTTCAGGGAGGCCATGAGCCACGCTCCCCTGGAGGCTGGGTGGTCGCACACAAAGCACGGCAGCGAAGGGGCAGGACCTTGCTGACACCCTGGTACCGTGTAGCAGTCTGCTGACCTTGCTGCCACCTGCAGTCCCAGCAACTGCCTTCCTTGCTTTCTGTCCTTGCGCGGTGGACAGAGCTCTTCCCTTTGGGCTTGAAGCATACGCAACAGGCCCCCTGTTGCTGGTATTTCAGCTGGTGGCCTGTCTTGTGACTCTGGCTTTGGGGTGCTGGCCTCCTCCTCATCCTGCAGTCCACCTGCAGCTTTTCCTTGATCAAAGGGTAGGGGACTTTGAAAAGAAGTCTTCCCCCTTCTTTCAGAGCGGGGAAGGAAGGTGGCAGCCCCTTTCCTTCCAGCTGCTGACACTCCTCCAAAGTTTCTTGTCAGGACAGAAGTGCTGGAGGGCACAGAGCCACTACTGTGCACTCAGCAGCAGGGGGCTGTGGGAGGGATGAAGCTTCCATTGTTTTCTTTGGGGAGCATGGCTGGGACTTCATCTGGAAGTGTCTATTTGTCTCATCAGGAAAGACGGCTGAAACAACAGCGTTTGAAGGCGCTGGAGCAGCGGGAACACTTCCTGGCAGAGGTACAGAGGGAGCAGGAGAAAAGGGTGCTTGAGATGAAGCAGGAGATTGCCGTAATGCAACCTGAAGAAGAAAAGATGGGAACCAGGGCCGGTCAAGATGCAAAGAGAATGCCAAGGGAGTTTGGACGCTTCTGGGGCTCCTTATGGGCACTGCTTCTCCAGACACTGTGTGTGTGGGTGGGATTGTGTCTTAGCTGGCCCTTGGTAAACAGGAGAAGGAGAGCAAATTGCTTTTGGAAAGCGTGAGCACATGAGTCTTGGTTGCCACACAGGTGGTGGGTGGGAAGTTTGAAGGCGTCTTCTCTTTGTTTCTGTGCAGCTCCAGCGCCAGAAGGCTGCTCATTTAGACAAGGTGTGCCGCCTGCAGCGAGAGCTAAACCAAAGGCAGCGGCAGGTAGAGCAGCTGAGGCAGGAGCTGAAGGAGGAGCGAGAGAATGGGCAGGTGAGCCTGACAAGCCAGGTAGCAGAGGGAAGGGCAGTAGCAGGGGCATGAACGGTAGATATCAGGAAAGGGGAGGCAAGGACTAGTGCAAGCAGGGAGCCTGGCAGGCTCCAGGGCTGAGCACCAGGAAGAAGAATTAGGATGGAAGGCTTAGAGCTGGGTAGAGCAGCAGAAAAAAGTGGCTGAAGTGAAGAGCTTTTGAGACTGGGAAATGAGAAAGGTGAGCGAGATGGCAAGTGCTAGTAAGAATTTTCTTGACAACATATCAAGAACAAGCTGCAGGCAGAGCTGCGGGAAGCTCAGAGGAAGATGAAGGCAGTGGAAGAGAGGCACAAAGAAGAAATGGAAAGGATGCAGAAGATGCTGCAGTACAGGCTGGCAGAACAAAAGCCGGTGAGTGAAAGAGCAGTAGGCAGCACTGCAGTCATGCAACAAGAGGTCTCTCCTCTTGTCACCTCGCCCCTGCGGAGCAGCATGGCGGGATGGGGGCCATGCCTCTGGCTGCCGTGCTCTCTGGTCTCCATGGCAGCTGCTCAGAAGGACACTTCCTGGGCCACTGAATGCCTGGGCAGCAGGGCTAGTGCTTTGGCCCTCAGCAATCCTCTGAATGTATTGCTGCTGGCCCCCTAGTGCTCGCTTGGTTTTGTGAGAGGTTTCAACATGGTGACCCACACAGATTCTGAACAGCTTGTCCCTGTCCATGGTGAATGCAGTCCACAGGACAGGCTGAAATGGAAAGCTGTTCTTTCCCTTTCACTGTCTCTACTAGGGCTGGCTGTGACAAGCTGTCGTCTCTGGCTGCTTACGGGGGTTTGACTTGGGCTGGAAGAATTGACAGCTCAGCTTGCAGCCTAACCCAAGTGTTGTTCCTAAGGGCTGGCCTTTAAAGTGTGCTGTCGGGGGCATCTCTGCCACTCACCTTTCTGACACCAAGACATTTCTTGTCCCAGATGGACGTGGGCTCTGCCATTGGAGATGCATCTGCAGCAGCATCCTCCGAAGAAGCCTCCTCTCCACAGCCTGAAGAGCCGAGAGTGAGCAGTCTGCCCTGTTCAGGCCAGGAGCCAGATCAGCTGTGCCAGGACGGAGAGAACCAGGGCTTGGAGCAGCTGAGTACGTCCTGTGCATTCTTTGTCCGAATGAGCAGTGTATTGATGTGTGTGTGCCTCAGCATGTTCCTCCTCCCTCGGGTGTCAGACAGACATTTTGGACCCCCTACAGAAGCCATAGTGGTGCTTGGAAGCAGCCAGGGAGAACTTTGGGGCACTGCTTTTGCTTTTCAGGGCAGCTGGGAGTGGGAGGGCTTTGCCTGAGCTTCCTTCCCTGGGCAGTAAAGGCTAAAGCAGGGATTGTTTCCTGAGCAGCAGAAGGCTGCCACCCAGCAAATGGCCCAGTCCATGTGTGTGTGCTGCTCTGGCCAAGCTGATCAGAGCAGATGGCTTCCTAGATTGCCTTTAGACTCCTGCCTTGTCACCAGTCACTGGAGACCAAATACTCCAGAGAAATGGATTGGCTGTGTGGCTGCTTTCCTACTGCTGCTGTTTTTATGACTATTAGTACTTCTACCATTCCTTCTTCAGTTTGTTTGGATAAGAATTCTACATTCTGCTTGGCCCAGCCTCCTTGGAAAGAACATCAGGTGACAGCACCAATAAGAGTGGAAGAGGTCTTTTAGTAGGCCTCAAAAGTTAAAATATTCTGTTCTTAGATAAATCCCTAGGAATCAAAAAGAAAGTGCTGTTTCCAAAGTGCAGCAAAAGAAGAAAAACAGGATACTTTTTTTACAATCCCTCTTTGATATTTTAGCTGTTTGCTTGGGACGATGCATTAGAGAGACACATCTATGTGGCGCAGTGAGATAAAACTGCCCTGCAGGCAGTTCTCAGGAGGAAGCCTGCAGCCCCTCTGCTGCATGTTCCTCTGGTACCACGGTGCCACTTTGTCACAGCTAATGCCCAGCTGGTAAATACTCTTGGAAAGCCAAGGCCTGACCTTCATCCCTGCACAGATCATACTCTAGGAAAGCACAGCAAGGCCTTGGTGAGTCTGCAGTACAACCAAGTTGCTTCTTGCACGTTATAGCTGCCAGGGCAGGGCTGTCAGAGAATAACTGGTCGGCTACAGAACAGAGCCCAGTTTCCTCAGTGTCTGCCATCAACTGCTGGGACAAAAGGGGCATTGATCTACTCCCCCGTGGGTCTGAACTCAATGACACTCATGGTGTGTCTTGAGTGGGGTCAACAGCTTGTAACGGGGCTCGGTCTGGCTCTGGCCTCTTCTCAATGGTTGTCAGTGGCCACTTGTTGGCTCTGCCAAGCTTTTTGTCATGTCTGCCCTGCCACTGACGGCTGGTGTGACTGCAGAGGCTGGAGCCTTCCTGAGCTGTGAGACTTCAGCTGCCTCCCCATTGCTGCAGCTTTGCCTGGACTCATGAAAGGATCAGCATCTCACTTGGGCAGCTGTCTGTGCCACGGCAGCGCCCGAGGAGCGGCGCTGTCCTTGTTACCCGTCTCGGCTGTGCCCATTTGGGAAGATGGGACACGTGGGCGGTCTTCAAGAGGTCGAGTCCAGTGCAAGCGACTGCTGCTCCCCAGGCTGAAGACAAGCAGTTGTAATTCTTCAGAAAATGGAGAATGGGAAAAATTGTCTTCAGAACTTAGCCTGCTCATCCATGAAGAGGGCCCTAATTCTAACAGCAATTGTTCTTGGTTGTAGAGAACAATCAGCTCTACAAGTGGCAAGGCATTCTTTAGGCAAACTGCTGAGAGGTAGAGGAAGTCCCCTCCTCTGCTGGAATTCACTTTGCAATATTCCTTCTGCTCTGCAAAAAGCAGCTGCGGATAAAAATTCCTCCCAGATCCCAGGCTGCGTTTAATCTCTCAGGTGGAAAGCTTTTGTTGAATCTCACAAGAGAGTCTGTATTCCCAAGGAAATGAAGCTCTGGTTTTTCACGTCACCTTCCCCTTTGTAAATGACAACCACTTGCCTTGGTGTCTGTTCTTTTCTGATCTCTGTCTGCTCTGAGGGTTTCTCCATGGCCTTAGTTTCCTTTCAAGGTAACCCTTCAAAGGAGCGTGGAGAATCAGACCCTGTGCAGGCCATGTGTGCTGCAGAGCTGCCTGTCTTGCTACGGAGCTGCTGTTGTTGTTGTTCTTGTTGATGTTATGGTTAGCCAAGCAACCATCAATTGCCCCGAGCCCCAGAGAGTGGAGCTGAGTTTCAGATGTGCCGGAAGTCGGTATCTCTGTTTTGAAGTTTGCTTCTTGCATTTTGTTTCTTTCAGGGAGTGTTGTGAGCGTGGCAGATCCAAAACAGAAATACACTGGATGGAAATTTATTGGCAGTGGGTGAGTGCAGCCAATCTTACTTCTGCAGAAGCATGGGCCAGCTCTTTTGCTGGTGCAATATCAAGTGGGAAGTCAGGCAAGCTGCAAGCTTCTTCACACCTGGGCTTTAGATTGTCCCGGTCTCAGTACTGATCACAGGGCATCATCAAAGGTAACTGCATGCTGACAATGTCTTGCCTGCCGCAAGAAGCAGGGCCTGGAAGCCCTCCTGTCCCTCAAGCGTGTGGCACCAGTTTGCTTCTTTTCCTAGGAGACATGGTTTTGTATGATTCCAAGTCATACGGCCACACTGATGAAGGAAGAAGAACCTGAGAGAGCAGCTTCCCACCTGAAGCTGCTGTCAGGTCACTGCTCTCAGTAGCATTTCCTTCCAATCTTTTGCTGAAAGCAATATTCCGTGCTCAGGACAATAAGAAAGGCTGTGTAGTGTTGCCCGAGTTTGGCAGATGGAATCAAAAGAGAGCGGGGAGAAGGAGGCCCAACAGGACTTTGTGTTTCATTGCCTGGAAAGGAACGCCACACGCACAGACCCAAGAAGGAAAAGGCCAAGCAAACCCCTGCATCCATGACCTAGTGTGTACATTTGGGATTGGCAGTAGCCCTTTTTTCTTCCTGTTGGACTGAGCTTTTCTCTAGGACACGCTGCATGGCAGAGGACTGCT